TGTGTGTGTGTGTGTGTGTGTGTGTGTGTGTGTGTGTGTGTGTGTGTGTCTATGAGTGACAGGACAGCCGTGGGGGAGTGATGGTCCTTGCCTTTCACCTTGTTTGAGACAGGGTGTCTTTGTTGTTCCTCACTGTGTGCAGCCTAGCTGGCTGTGAGCTTCCGAGTTCTCCCACTCCCTCCCACCTCATCACAGGAGTGTGGGGATTTCAGATGCCTGGCTTTTACTAGGCTCTGGGGATCTGAACTGAGGTCCCTATGCTTGTGTGGCTGTGACAAAAGCTTTACCCACTGAGCTCTTCCCCAGAGCCCACACATGAGTCTATTTAGCTCTATGTCTTTTAGGTCTATTTGAACTTGCTTATGAGAATACATAACATCTAGAGACGCGACAGTCGTCTGAGGTATTAGGGGCATAGCTCAGCAGTGGAGCACTTACCCAATACTCAGAGCCCTGGGTTTGAACCCCAGCGTGAGAATAAGTCCTAGAACAGGCCAACTGCTGTCCCTGTGGATGTGAGCCTACAGGGGACAGAGGGGGAGCTGGTCCTAGCCTCCTCTGATAGAGTCAGCAATGACCCCAAGGTATTCATTTTGGTTCACTTCTATTTACCCAGGGAAGGGGTGCCCAGTAGCTTAAGGACATGGGGGCCGTTAGAGAACCTTGGGGGCCCAAGGGAGCAGCTGGCATAGGAGCAGGAAGTAAACAACTTTCTTTCCCCTCTGAGTACTCAGCCAGGCTGGAGCCTCATCAAGGATTGGGGCCGCCTGAGATAGGGCACAGTGGTGACTGTGGTCCTAAGGATGACCTCTGAACCCCAGGAAAGGCCTGAAGCGGGGTCAGGCCTAAGAATAGCATGTGTAACTGTATCCCGTGCTGCTGTTTTTTAGGAAATCCAAAATGCTACTCGCTTCACCTTGGAATCCTTCCCTTCACAGTGCTCCTCTTGGTCTTCTTTGGGTAAGAATCCACGCTGGTGAGGAACAACTCCAGAGACCTTGATGGGGATCCTGAGCTGTGAGCATGCCCATTTCCATGGTAGCGATGAGCGTGCTCTTGGCCACTCCCACAGTGGCACGTCCACCTCTTGCTTCTTCCCAAAGTGAAGTGTCTCTTGAAAGACTCTTTTGATTTCACGAAAGGGGTCTTGGGACTAGACCTGTCATTTGGCCATAGCCATATGGGTGAGTCTGGGGAAGGAGGCAAAGGCAGGCCTGAGGGCTCAGAGGCAGTTCTCTCTAAATGCAGATAGTCTGAGAACCCCTCACAGAGCAAACTCACTGCCATGTCTACTGGCGATTCTGTAGACGCAATCAGGAAATACAGTCTGGTGTAGTCTTGGGTTCTAGGTACCTGGCATGGAGGTGGGGGCCGTCTGCAGCTGTTACAGGTGTTCAGATGCAGGTCTTGTGCCCAGGGTCCTTCCTCTCGCTACCTCTTTTTCTAGTGTGGTGGGCATGCTTAGTCTGTCACGTGGCCCTGCATCCCCACTGAGAACTTCTGTGCTCACTGTGCTGGGTGCAGTGGTGCATTTTGGAGGTGGGGACAACCAGCCGGTCTCAGGTCTGTGCCCTGAACAGCGGCTCCTGTGCACACCCTTCCCACAGCTATGGGTTCCTGAGCCACAGAAGTCAGGAACTGAGAGACCCAGGCGCTGTGACTAGGTGAGTGTTTGTGGAATGTGTGTGTCATATATGTATGTGTGTCCTATGTGTGTATGCATATGTATGTGTGTATCACGTGTATGTGTCTGTATGGTGAAGGGTTACTGGGTGAACTTTCGGCTTCGTGCTGTCTTGTGCCTCTGCCTGTACTTCTACATAGATGGGTCTAGTTCTACTCTACGCTGTCGAGAGCAGTCTCATTACCCCATGCTGTCTTTTTAAATGAAGTGTATTTTGGGGGGCACTATTGTCTTTCCTATCTTCAGCCTTCTCCTCCCTCCTGAACCTGCCTGGGACAGCTTCCATTCCCAAAACACCTTCCCTGCAGCCTGCTGAATGCAAGGGTTTTTTTCCCCCCTTCTATAACTAGAACATAAGTTGTGCCCTCAGGAACCAAACTCCTTCCTCCAATCTATGTGTACCTGACCCCTAAACCTTCCTGGTCTAACTCTGTCTCCTGTGTTCTTCTTTTGCAGTGTGGCTGTCAGAGAGCTGGATGTCTGGGAAGTTGTAGCCCTGTCAAGGTAACCTACCCTCACATGGTGCTGCATTCTAGACTGAGGGGTGCAGATGGAGGTGTGTGTGTGTGTGTGTGTGTGTGTGTGTGTGTGTGTGTGTGTAATTATGAGCAGCTGGGACGTCCCTTCCTGTACCCAAAGTGGAGCACCTAGCCCTACACTGTGTGTTGACTAACTGCATGTCATTTGACTTTTAAACTGTCTGCCTGGCTCCTGTGGTACAGAGCTGAGCTTACAGCTGTTCACCCCATTCCCAGGGCAGCACACACAGCACGTGAGTTTACCGTCCTCACCCTCTCAATGTTCAGTGCAGTGAGCACATTCATGCTGTGGTGCAGCCATCACCACCATCCGTCTCCAGAACATTCCATCTTGTAAACTGTACCCGTTAAACAGCGACTCCCCATTGCCCAGCCTTACTGGGGGTCCTGGCAGCCATCTTGCCTGTTCTGTGTTGTTCCTCTGAGCATGGCTACTCTGCAGTAGTGCCTCCTAGGGATGGGGTCCTGTAGGGTTTCTCTCCCGGTGACTGGCCAGACTCACTCAGGAAGGGGTTATCCTGCACAGGTCTCATTCCTGTGCAGAAATTTCCTGTTTCTCTCTTTTTTTTAAGGCTCATTCACTGCCTTTAAAAAATTATTTTTGTTTTATGTGTATGAGTTTTGCCTACATGTATGTCAGTGTACGACGTTCATGCCTGTAAGCCATGAGGCCATAAATAGTTTTGGGTCCCCTGGAACTGGAGTTGCAGACTGATGTGGGTCTCCATGTGGGTGCTGGGAACTGAATCCCGTTGCTCTGCAAGAGGAGCCTGTGCGCTTACGGCTGAGCATCTCTGCAGCCCTGCAGCTGCTTTATAAGCCGTCATAGGGCATGCAGCTTACTAGTAGGGGTGACTCATGACCCTTGGGGCTTGACATTTTGAGGGAACTTTCAACTGACATTGGGACTGGTCTCTGTCCAAGACAGAAAGCCAGGAATCTGTGTGCCATCAACCAGGCAAGGACCATGGCAGGCTGCAGGATCAGGCTAAATGGTCGGCATCAACCTGGGATAGAAATGTTCAGTGTCAGGTGACCTGTGATTAAAGTGGTCTCAGCTCTCCCAGCCTTAAGTGGGGTAGGGGATCATAATTTCCTCTTTCTGCCTCAAGTCAAGTAAGACTGTGATCTCCCTGTTTCAGCCCTTCTTAAGCTCCCAGGATCACGAACAGACTCAATGGCTTGGTTGCCAACACTTGTTCAGGTCTGTGTGCCTAGTGCTTTCCAGGGACTTTCTTGTTACCTTGATTTCTGGTGTTTTCTTACTGCAGGATGGTCTACGCCCAGCCAAAGGTGCTAACACCCAGGTGAGTAGATTTAGTCAGTGTATGTGTAGTGCAGGAGTCGTAAAGGTACGAAAGGACGATTTGCTTGCAGCCGGGAATAGTTCAGAAGTACACCTGAGGCCCTAGGTCAGTCTCCAGCACTGGAAAAACCAAGAACTGAGAAAAAACAAAAACCCAGTTATGATTCTCTTTGCACTCACTTCAAGAACCCTTTTCGAGATTTAAGGTTGTCTCATTCTGGAGCCCAGAGCATCTTCTGGCTCTCATTTCCTATCTGGGCTTCTGTTCATTGTTTCCTGTCTCTGTCACCAGGGTTTTCAGAGATGTGGTGGCTGCAGTGGTAGTAAACTCAGTTGCTTATAGAGTGGGATTGGGGTAGTCAGTGAGAGCTGTTGCTGATTGGCCCAACCCACACTCGGGGATGGTGGCAGCCCTGGGGGAAGCTGAGGGTGTGGAATCTGAGAAGGGTTCCTGCAGATGTGTTTGGTCACATGCTGCCTGTGGCTCTCTCCCCTTGTAGTAGAGAAGATGTCCTTGTCTTGACTCCTTGGCTGGCTCCCATCATCTGGGAGGGGACCTTCAACATCGACATCATGAATGAGCAGTTCAGGCTTCAGAACACCACCATTGGACTGACTGTATTTGCCATCAAAAAGTAAGCAGTGGGTGCTGGAGAGATGGCTAGTGTCTAAAGCACTTTCTTCAGGGACATGAGGACCTGAGTTTGATCCCTAACACCCATGTAAAGGCTGGGCATGGTAGCACATCCCTGTAATCCCAGTACTGTGCTGGAGGGGAGAGACAAGTGGATCCAGGCAGCTTCCTGGACAGCACAGGCAAACACTGAGCTTCAGAGTTAGAGAAGGGACCCTGTCCAAAGAGCAAAAAGAAATGACAGAAGAAGGCACCCAAAGTCAACTTTTGGCCTCCACATAGACACACAGGCAAGTAAAGATGAACATATACAATGGGCAGGTACACACAGGCACACATGCACATATACACACATACAACAGTCGAGGTGGACGCCGGTCATACCAAGCTCCATTCTTGTATTTAATATGAAGTGGGTGTGGGGCTGGTTCGCTCTGTCACCCTCCTTAACTCTAGTGGGCTCAAAGGTGAATGAATCCAGTGTGACACCTGCCAGGGCCGCAGGCCAGCTGTCCCTCGCTCTGTGCTCTTAGCCAGGCACTAGCTTCATCCCTCGGCACACACTTCAGTGTGTACTTATCCCCAGGTCTGGTGGCAAGGGACGGAACGCCAGCAGAGCTGCATCCACTCATGGTGTACCAGGCTTTCCTTTTCAGACTGCCACCAGCTCACAAGTCATGACATGGAGACTTATTATTAGTTTTTAAAGCTTGACCTCAGCTTACCTTTCATTTTAATGTGTTTCTCTTTATCTACATTTTGCCGCGGGGCTTTTTTTTAACCTTTCTTTGTTCATTCATTCATTTGTTTGATCTGTCCTACCTAACTTCCCCCCTTCCTTCCTTCTTTTGTCTTTTCCTTCCCTTTTTCCTTTCATTCTGAATATTTTACTTTCCTGCTGCCTGGCACCCGGACCTGGGCATGTCCCTTTCTTTCTCCCTTGGTTTGTTTTCTCCTTCCTCCTCCTCGTCCTCATTCTTCTCCTCTTCCTCCTTCTCCTTTTCTTCTTCTTCTCTTGTTCTCTCCTATTTATTCCCTCTGCCCAGCAGCCCCAGCTAGTCATCTTTTGCCTAACTATTGGTTGTTCAGGTTTTTATTAGAACAATCCGGTGCCTTAGGCAGGCACAATGAAACAAATGTAACACTTCTTTACATAAGTAAACAAATGCCGCATAAACAACTGGAACACATCTTTGCATAGTTAGAGTGATATCCACAACAGATGTGTCCTCAGATGCAGGACAAGGTGGACAGCAAAGGTTGGGTCAGACCTTTCACCTTAGCCCTATGGGTGGAGAGCAGCAGACCTGTGAAGCCCCGAGACTCTGGGTCAGGCTGACTTTAGGTCACAGACAAGAAACTTGCCCTGCGGAAGCCTGCAGAAGCGGGACAGAGTGGCATTACAGTGTAGAAGGCTGTGGAGGGCTGAGAGCTGCCTTTGTGCTGCCTGTGAATGAGAAGGAAGGGGCTTTATCCCTCCCTGCAAGGGCTGGATGAGACCCAAGGATAGCACTGAGGCATTTATACCCATCATTCTTGAGACAGGTTTGGGGCTCAGCTGGAGGGATCCTGGCACCTTGAGAACACCTGCAGTGCTAGGGACAGAGACCTTCACAGTAACAAGACATACACACTACCTTGTCTGGGTGCTGCTGGGTTTGTGAGCAAGGGTTCTGCCAGGGGTGGGTAGGTGCTTGGTGGGGAGAAGGGCTCTGAGGGAACTATCTGGGACCTAGCAAGGTCACCTTTGTGTAAGGATAACGGACACTTGCTTGTTTCTAACACTGAAGTGTGGAGGCTTCGCACACAGGCCAGGTGATGGCAATCCCTGTTCCCATGGAGGAGCAGCCATCTGGAGCAGGTGAAAACTTCTTACCCTGGGAGATGACATAGAACCTGGGTTAGAAGCTGTGGTTATTTGAAAGAAAATGGCCCTGAAAATAAGTGGTACTGTTGGCAGGTATGGTTTCATTGGAGGGACTGTGGCCTTGTTGGAGGGATATTACTGTGGGGGCAGGCTTTGATGTTTCCTATGCTCAGGATACTGCGCGGTGTCTTAGTTGACTCCCTGTTGCCTGCAAGAGGTAGGACTCTCAGCTCAAGTGCCATGTCTGCCTCTCATGTTCCTCACTGTGATAATGAACCAAACTTCTGAAAGTGTAACCTGTCACCTCAAATGTTTTCCTTCATAAGAGTTTCTGTGGTCATGGTGTCTCTTCACAGCAACAAAAACCCTAATTTAGGCAGCAGTTGGCACCAGGGACTGGTGTATTGCTGTGATAAGCCTGGCCATGTTTTGGTTTTGAGTAATACGGACTTCGGGGATTTGGGTTAGGAAAGCAGTGGGAGGCTTTAAGTGCTGCTTAATTGGGATGCTTGTAGGACATGGAAGACGGTGGTGTGAACTGATTTGATGAACTGTGGGGATCAAGAGGTTTCAGAGGAGAAGAATGTTAGTATGTGGCCTAGAGGCAGTTCTTGTGATGTTTTGGTGAAGAAAGTGGCTGCTTTTTGCTATTTTCTTAAGAGTCTGCCTGAGGCGAAAGTGAACAGTTTTAGATTAATTCTGTTGGCAGAAGAAATCTCAAAAACAACAGCCTATTTAGTATAGACTCTGTTGTATGATTAGTGGTACCCCTAATGAGGATTTATAATGAAAAGGAGCAAGATGCGCATGGTAAATTACAAAAAGAAAATTCTGAAGAGAAGAGAATTCCAGGAAGTAGAACGGTGCTAAGTTCTGTGTTCAAGGAGATAAACAAACAAGAAATGGAATAAAGCAGGTGGCGACCTCAGGGCAAGACCCCAGTTAACTTTCTGCCTTATGGAAAGAAACTAAAGAGAAGCTTAGAGCTGGGTGTGGTGGGACACATCTTTAATCCCAGCACTGGAAAGCCAGAGGCCGGAAGATCTCTGAGTTTCAGGCCAGCCTGATTTAGAGATCCAGTTTCAGGACAGCAAAGTTTAGGCAGTGAAGGACAGAAAGCTGGTAAAGATGTAATTGAATAAGGAGACCTCAGTAAGTAGCAGAACTTGGCAGCTTTGGCCTTGTGGTTCTGACTTGAGAGTTAAGGATAGAAAGAAAACACAGATTATGAAAAAAATCTAAAGAAAATTGCTGAGGCCAGGTTTGTGTCAGCAGTGTTCCTGAATGGAGGCCTCGTAGGCCATTGTGTAAAACTGTGAAGTTGAAAACTGTGGGCTGCCTGGAGACGCCAAGACGTTAGAGATGCCAGAGCTGTAGGATACCTGCTGGGGAGTGCTGCTCACAGGGAGTGGACCCAGCCTTAGAGAATGAGGTGTGTTGCAGTCAACAAAGCTGAACTGAGTTGGAGAGCTGAAGAACATTTTGACATCGGGCATGCAAATGCAGAGTTTGGAGTTTGCTTATCTGGTTTTTGGTTTCGCTTTGGTCCAGTATTTCCTGGCTACAGTTCCTTCCCTATGTTTTAGAATTGTAGTATGAGCTGCGGGCAGGCCTGTTTTTCATCCTGCCCGGCTCCCGCATGGCTAGCTTAGTCCCAGAAATAATAACACACAAATTGTATTTATTTAAGCACTGCCTGGCCCATTATCTCTAGAGAGTTAGTTACTGACTAACTCTCATATCTTGATATTAACCCATTTTTAATAATCTGTAGCACCACGAGGTGGTGGCTTACCAGAAAAGATTCAGCATGTCTGACCTGGTGGCTGGCTCCATGGCTTCTGGCTCATAGCCCTCTTCCCAGCATTTTGTTCTGCTAGCTCCGCCTACCTAATTTTCTGTCCTATCAAGGGGCCAAGGCAGTCTCTTTATTGACCAATGAAAATAACACAATAGACAGATAACCTTCCTCCATCATAGAATGGCAATGTATATCCTGTGCCATTATATGTTGGAAGTATGTGATCTGTGTTTTTGATTTTGATTTTATAGGGGATTATAGTTAAGATCTTACCATGAGCCTCAGAAGAGACTTTGAACCAAGTTTGGGACTATGATAGACTAGGGGGAATTTTTGAAGTTAGTCCAGAATGCACTAGGGGGAATTTTTGAAGTTAGTCCAGAATGCATTTTTGCATTCTGATATGGCTACAAGAATTTGGTATCAGGAGTAGAATGTGGTGGTTTGAAAGAAAATGACCCCCAAAGTGACTGACTGGCAGCATTAGCAGGTGTGGCTTTGTTGGAGTGGCCATGGCCTTGTTGGAGGAAATATGTCACTATTTGGGCAGGCTTTGAGGTTTCCTATGCTCAGGATGCCACCCAGTGTCTTAGTGGATTTCCTGTTGCCTGAAGACATAGAGCTCTCAACTCTAGCACGAGGTCTGCCTGTATTCTGGCATGGTCCCCACCATGATGAGCATTTGAAACTGCAAGGTGTCATCTCACTTAGGACACCTCCCTTAGAGGTGTTATCATGGTCATGGCGTCTCTTCACAACAATAAAAACCCTGAGTAAGACAGAAGTCTTTTGCCCTTGGACCAGAAGGTTTGGCTTAGGCTTGACCTTCCTTTTAGGGTTCCCGTTTCCCCTTCCCTGCCTTCTCTGCGAGACTGATTCTTGCACTGGCGGAGACCATGGGGGAAGACTCTGAGGAGCACAAGAGGGTTACTGAGTGGTTGTCCACAGGCAGCTTCACGTCCCTGATGAGGAAGGTCTGGGATAGAAAGAACCCTTCCTTTCCTCAGACAGGACCCTGAAGGGTGCCACAAAGAATGGGTGCAGGTACCAGGCCCTTCAAAACTCCCTTGCTCCACCATAGCTTAGAATGTGGGACCTTGTAAGCATAGGCTCTGCTCAGGCCAATGCTAGGACATGGGATATGAAATGTGTTGGGATGGAGCTTTTACTACTGGAAGGGAGGGTGACAGACTCATGGAGAGGCGGCCTGCTGAGGGGCCTGCCAAGACAAGAGATACCGGCAGGGCATCTGCCTGGATCCCCATGTCTGGAATCATCTCTGCTACCTGACTAGAAGCTTCCTGACCTCTACCTCAGCATTCCTTGCTAAGATGTGGTGCTGATGTTACATTCTTCTGAAGTAAAGGAGGGTGAGGTGAGGTACAGCTTGCAGACTGCTCAGGACAACTGTAGAGTGGGGATGCTGTTGCTTCAAGCCTCAGGGTAGCCATGGTTTCTGCAGCTGGGCCCCTGCCCTGGTTAGTCTTGACCTAGCCGTGTTAAACCTCGGCTTACCCCTCTGTCATCTTACACAGGTATGTGGTGTTCCTGAAACTGTTCCTGGAGACAGCAGAGCAGCACTTCATGGTGGGACACAAGGTCATCTACTATGTCTTCACTGACCGTCCTGCCGAGGTGCCGCAAGTGCCCCTGGGGGCAGGACGGAAGCTGGCGGTGCTGACTGTGCGCAACTACTCCCGCTGGCAGGATGTGTCCATGCACAGGATGGAGATGATCAGCCACTTCTCTGAGCGGCGCTTTCTGCACGAGGTGGATTACCTGGTGTGTGCAGACGTGGACATGAAGTTCCGTGACCACGTGGGTGTGGAGATCCTCTCCGCACTCTTCGGCACCCTGCATCCTGGCTTCTACAGAAGCAGCAGAGAGGCCTTTACCTACGAGCGCCGGCCGAAGTCCCGGGCCTACATCCCCAGGGACGAGGGTGACTTTTACTATGCAGGAGGCTTCTTTGGGGGGTCAGTGGTGGAGGTGTACCATCTCACCAAGGCCTGCCATCAGGCTATGGTGGAGGACAAGGCCAATGGCATCGAGGCCGTGTGGCATGATGAGAGCTATCTGAACAAGTACCTGCTATACCACAAGCCTACAAAGGTGCTGTCTCCAGAGTATGTTTGGGACCAAAAGCTGCTGGGCTGGCCCTCCGTCATGAGGAAGCTCAGATACGTGGCTGTGCCCAAGAACCATCAGGCGATCAGGAACGGATAGCTAAATTCCTGTTGGAGAGTCCAGGCTTATATCCAGGGTTACCCCAGGCTTTGGAACTGGGAAGATTTGAGAGACATTTATGAAGTGTCGCCCTCTACCCCACTTCAGGGTCTAGCAGACCCCGTACCACTTGTCTTACCCCACACTGAGCCCCTGGAGTGGCAACCAACTTCAGCTCCCACTGTGTCTCTAAGCTCCTTCTACTCAGTGAGATGTAGCAGGAGCTTGCAGAACATGGGAGAAATGCTGTCGTGCAGTTAACTGAGGGCCCGGGCATCCTTATTCAGGCATGTGCCTTCCTCTGCTGGGAGGCTTGAAAGATGGTCAGGGCCCTTAGGAATAGGCAGGAGGGCATGGAAGACTCACAGCCTGCAGGTCTCAGAGGTGCTTAGCTCCTGCTCAGCCCAGCTGGCAGATTAGCAGCCTGTGACCATTGCCTCTGCTCAGTTTTGGTTCATTTGGGAATGGCTAGTTATCCATTCCTGGTAGTAAATGTATTTGTCGATGATATAGGAAGTTTAAATTTTTTTCTTTTCCTCCTCCTCCTCTTCTTCTTCCTCCTCCTCCTCCTCCTCCTTCTCCTCGTCCTCCTCTTCCTCCTCCTCCTTCTCCTCCTCCTCCTTCTTTGAGGTACTTGGTATTGAACCCAGGGCCTCACGAATGCTAGTCAGGCATGCTACCACTGAAGTCTGGGTCAAGAGACTCATGACTGAACTTGCTGAGTGTTAGGTCCACTGCATCATTTTATACTCCAGTTTTTATCCGAAATTTCCAATCTAAAGACATTGTTACTTTTTTGCTTTCAGTGTTGGGATCAGACTCAGGTCCCAGCCTCAAGTTTTACATTTTTTAGATGGTGGAGGATATTGTTGCTTGTTTTTCTTTTCTTTTCTTTTCTTTTCTTTCTTTCTTTCTTTTTTTTAAATTGAGGCAGAATCTCTAGCAGGTCCAACTGGTTTCAGCCTTAATATGTGTAAAGGATGGTCTTGAACTCCTGATCCTTCTGCATCTCCCTCTGCAGTGCTGGAGTGATAAGCATGCCATGCCACCTACCTCTGATGGTCTTAATTTTCTTAAAACTCCAGTGATCTTGTTCCAAAATGGTTTCTCGGCCTCAAAGTCCTTTGTGTCCTTGGCTGATTTTTCATTTCTCACAGTGTCAGATTTTGTTTTTTTCTGTGACAGGATCCTTGTGTATCCCCGGGTGGCCTGGAATTTGCTACTGGACCAGGATGGCCTGGAACTCATAGATCCTCTTTCCTCTGCCTGTCACCACACATGGCCAGACTTTTCCCCCTCCATCAAAGGTGGATAAACTACCAACATCCAATATTCCATAAACCTTCCCCATCTTGACAACCCATGTATGTGCTGTCTGACCAGCCCTGGATACTCTTGAGACTTGACTTCCCTTTATACCCTTACCTTTCTCAGCAATTATGAATTAGCCAATTGCATCAATTCTGAGGTCTGGCTCCCATCAATGGGATGAAGCCCAGTCATGACTTGTGTTACCACAAAAGCAAGTGAACATCCTGCCTAGTATGCTTGCTTGCTCTGTGTGGTGGAGCACTCTTTTAAAAAAGAAATAGCCTTGATAGTTTGTTTTTTATTCTTTGTGTGTTCGTGAGAAACTGAGAATATTCTCCAGAAACATGAAAGCTAGAGGGTAATGTCTTTCTGTCTCTTCTGTGATTGATAGATTCCCCAAATTCTTGGCCTCTCTGCAGGATCTCTAAAATGTAAGATAGAGGGTGTGGACAGGGTTCCTTGAGGCCAGGAGGGTCATTTAACCTCAGAGATTATGGTAGTTAAGAAAAGGTGTGGGATTATTTAGGGGGGTTCAGACAAGGTTGGAGACTTGGAAGGCTCCCATAGCCCTCTCCAATATCTCTGTCTTCATTCCCACTCAGGGTTGCTCTCTGGTTATCTGGTGCTGGAAGCTGAGAGTTGGGAGTCTTTAAGATAACAGTTAAAGTAAGGTACAGATCTGAATATTAAGATGGATAAATTCCAGTGGCACTTCAAGTTAGGAGCTTTCTGGGTGCCATCGTTTTTCCCTTTTCTCTAATGTTCATACAAGCTTCCATCTCCATTTGAGGAAAACAAAGATAAGTGTCTTCACAGGGATGCCATCATTGGGGACATGCCCCGGGTTCCTTGTCCACTCCACTGTCCTATTCCTGAGACACCTTTTGGAAAGTGTGTGTGTGTGTGTGTGTGTGTGTGTGAGAGAGAGAGAGAGAGAGAGAGAGAGAGAGAGAGAGAGAGAGAGAGAGAGAGAGGGAGAGAGAGAGAACACAAAGAAAAGTCAATCCAAACAAACAACTTTAAAATGTTGTCCAGCTGGATCTAATCACAGGACCTGGCAAGTGGCAGACAGAAGGATTAGTAAAGAGCTCAAGGTCACCCTCAAGGACAATCTCAGCTATGTATTATCTGGTCTTAAAATATTTAAAAAATAGAAATATCACACTAGCTCAGAATTGAGAATAATAAAGGGTTATTTATTTAGGCGTAGATTCACAAATCACAATTCTCTGCTGGAATGGGGAACAGAAAGTGAATCCCACAGCTGGAAAAGAGAGCCAGAAGCAAGAGATTGAGCGAGCACATGCTTTATAGCTGCATTTACAGTATCAGAGACCACACCTAAGTGGGCTGGTATCTTAAACGCTATTGGCTGAAAGAACAAAATGTGCTCCCACAATGCCTCCCCTTTTGTTTAAATAAGAGAGTTCCAAACCCAATACAAAACTATATACACTAGGAACAGATATCAAGTATAATTAGAATTATAATCAGCATAAACAATATTAAGCAAGGACCGTATGTTAAATGTTTTAACAAACCTTCTATCCTAAGGAGTCTAAATCCTGTATAGGAAATGACTTGGCTATATCATAAGAGGACAGTAACTACAATTATTTAATCTTTAACCTCATCTAAGCCTTGAGAAGGGAGATAATATTACTTGAGCAGGCAGGAAGTACAATCAAACAGCTTCCAAAGTGAGCAATATATGATAGAGACGATTAACTATCTGAGCAATCACCCAAAGTTTCATTTGCAACATTGAAACAACCAGTTTTAGCTAAGGCCTAGCATAACCGACAAACCATTTTCAGAGGCAAGAAATTTTTCAGAGCCGTCTTACCCTGTCTTGGCAAGATTTGACAGTCTTTTTCCTCGTGAGAGACTGAGAATATTCTCCAGAAACATGAAAGCTAGAGGGTAGTGTCTTTCTGTCTCTTCTGTGATTGATAGATTCCCTGATTTGAGCTTGTATCAATATACAAAAACTATATCAATGTAAATTATCCATAAATAATAGCTCACAAATATTTACTCTATTATCCACTATTATTACCCCTCCCTTTTTTTCTAGAACAAACATAGTTTCCACCCCAACCCTCTACCTGATACAAGTAATAATCAACAACCCCTAAATGTTGTTCCCATTCCCGAGGACAAACTTTTTGGGGGTAGGGGCATCGTCCTCTAGAGTTGCTTCCCGCTGTCATGGGGGTGATATTCTCTTTATGGGATCCTGCAAAACTAAAGGGATGGTTAAGTTTCAAAATTACTGTCTAGTATAGTTGCAAACAGTTTCTGAGCAGTTGGTAGGGTTTTTTCCAAAGTTCCTATTTGGAGTTCTGGCCAGAATGTCACAAGAAGGTGCACCATTTCAGCAGCTACTACCCTCAAAACCGGTTATACAATAGCACTATCAGCATCACAGTGTCATCTCAACCAGGCAGAGTTGTTGCTGTGGAGCTCCATCTTCTTGGAAACTTCAAGGATTACTGAAGGAAAAGGATCGGTAGGAAAATCTATTGTTCATCATGGAAAACTTAAGCATCATTCATATAAATATTATTCAATGAAGAATACGATATAGACAAAATAGATTTGGAGAAAGTAAAATTTTTCCTAAAGTTTTCCTTCTGTTCCATGCCAGATGGCTCCCGATATGAGACAGAAATCTGAATGTTCCTTTTAACAACACGTTTGGATTTAGAGAAATACAGAGCCATTGTCCAACTCTAAAATCATATATATATATATATATACACATAACATATAAATATATATTTAAATGTATATGTATTAATTACCTGACCTCATCACTCGTATTCCTCTTTCTAGATGATCCTTAGTGGATAGTTATTTTTTCTTCTGTCAGCATTAAAACATATAGGGTCTCTTGAATTTTTAAAGATGTGTATTTTCCTGTAAAGATAAGAGCAGAACCCTGGTCCAACCCTATATTCTTTCCTTACCACCTGTGTGATTGTCACCATTGTGGATGAGCTGTCATTTCTCTTTTTCAAGAGGTTTTTCCTTTTCATAATAAATATTTATTAATTTTTAAAACGGTATCCATAGTTTTTCTTCTGTGTAAACAAGAGCAAAACTCCTTTCCCAACATAGCACATCTTCTGGTTTCCATTGTAAGGTCAATACATCCTTGAGATACACTGGTTGATTTAATTCAGAAGTCCTTATCACTATTTAATGTTTTATTCAAATGGACTATTAGGTCAGGTGCTATCCCAACAACTGGTCATAGACAAGAGAAGTCTCCCAATAATCTTTGAAAGTCATTAAGAGTCCACAACCGGTCTCTCCTAATTTGTGCCTTTTAATCTTCTGAAAACCTACTCTGTAACCTAGGTAATTAACAGAATCTCCTCTTTGAATCTTTTAAGGACCAATTTGTAATCTCCATTTTGGCAAAACTTTCTTTACTTCTTTAAAGATTCTTTCTAAAGTATCTGTATTTTAATCAGATAACAAAATGTCATCCATGTAATGGTAAATTATAGACTTAGGAAATTGCTTACATATTATTTCCAGTGGCTAGCTGACAAAGCATTGGCACAGGGTGAGGCTATTGAGCATTCCCTGTGGGAGGATGGTTCATTGATGTAACCTAGTAGGCTGGGAATTGTTATAAGTAGACACTGTGAAGGCAAACTTTTCTCTATACTTTTCTT